TTGGAGAGTAAGAAGAGAGATCTAATAGGAAGTTCATGAGGTTAGTAGCTCCCATTTCCCCAGAAAATCTTGTTTCTCATCTGTGACTCTGTGCTCCTCAGAGAATGCCTGATTTTTCTGGGATTCAAGAAAACAATGAGTCTTGCTAGGGAGTGGGTGTGAGGTGGTGCAGATTCAGCGCCCACGGGCAGCAGTCTGGCTCCTTTCTGTGGGTTCCGCATCCTCTCCAGGGTCCGTGCTTTCTTTGTTTTCTTCTTTGTCTCACCCTCCTTTGTGAGTCTGGTTTACAGAAGTCTGATTTTGGCTTTGCTGATGAGGGTGTGTATGTTTTAAAATAATATCTTAAGTCTCTTTCAGTTTCCCAGGCTTAGAGACGAAAATATATAGAGACACCCTGAATAACAAATAATGACATGAACAATTGCTGTATCCCTTCACAAGCCTCTTCTACCTTACAGCTCTTGCTGCTGAACCGTTAGAATTTAGCCATAGACTGTGGCTTTGTAGAGATTGGAGAATGGTCTACAACAGCCATACTTTTCAGTTCTGAATGAGAGAGCATATGGCAAACCAAAGTAAAAGAATAAATAACAACAAGCAGGTGATAACTAAATTAATGGGTGCTCAAAACATCCAGTAGCAATTCACTGGAGAAGATGAGGCAGGCACCCTCGACAGAGGTTTGCAAGTAAACATCATCAAATTGGGTGCGCACAACATCCCCCAGACACCACCCGAGGAAGCTGAGGCTCACACCAGACCTTCCACTGAGTCTTTCTCCATGCTGAGCTCTCCATGGCCGAACTCACAGCTTCTGTCTTCCACTACAGACACGGTCATCTATTTTTTTTTCTCTTGAACTGTTTTGCATTTCTCTTCCTTCCCCACCACAGAGCTGGAATGGTAACCCTTCCCCAGGCAAGAGGATTTGGAGGACACCCTGAGACATGCATGCTTGGGTCTGAAGTGGGAGGGAGAGCGCAGGCCAGCTTCCACAGCCAGCTTCTCAGGGAACTCCAAAGCACATGGTCATTTAATCACATAATGTATAACTATTATCAATGACTTGTTGTTTGACATTTAAAACAAAAGTGTGACAGTTGCACTGTTTTCAGAGAAAACCAAGAGACTTTTAAAGACTTTATTGTTTAATGGCCAAGCTTCCTCCTCTCCTGAACTATTCAATCCACCATCTTGTCTTTGGGGGGCCATTTCCATGGGTCTGAGGCATTGGCATCTTGATGTGGTCATGCTCATGTCAACAACACGCATTCACTCAGGATTTCAGGGGTCCCCACAGTCTGTTTATTCTTTGCATAACATATATATAACATCGTCAGCTGTGGGGATGGAACCTGTGGTCTTGAGCTCAGCAGGCCAGCACTGCCACTGAGCTATACCTCGTACTCATTTTACTTTTGATTTTGAAACAACCAGGCCTTGATCTTACTCTGAAGTCCACATAGGGCTTAAACTTGAGGTCCTCTGTCTCACTCACCAGAATGTAGTCCAGGCTTAACTGGTGTGTGTGTGTGTGTGTGTGTGTGTGTGTGTGTGTGTGTGTGTGTGTGTGCGCGCGCGCGCGCGCGAGCGTGGGTGCACGCGTGCGCACACGCACATGCACATACATGCAATATGTTATATGGAGTCAAGGAATGATTTTCAGAAGGAAGTTATTTCTCATTTTCCACCTTGTCGAGGGAGGGTCTCTCTTACTGTGTGTGCTGCTGTGTTGAGTATTCTAGGCTAGCTGGCCTCCAGTGTCTGGGCCAGTCTCCTGTCTCTGCCTTCCATCTTGCATAGATGTTGCTGGGATCACAGATGGGTACCCCCCGCTCCCCGGGCTCAGTTGTCTGTGAGTTCCAGCATCACAGCCAGGTTACTGGGTTTGTATGGCTGGCCCCTCTCCCTGCTGCGAATCTCTCCAGCCCTCAATTTTCTTTTGAATAAAGTAGAATTCTTCCAGGATATCTGAGGCATGGACCTCCTTTTTCCCAGTGATGTTTTTAGAGTGAGACATAGCGACTTTTTATTGTTCTTTTTGAGGACGAATTTTTCTATGTTGTCCCAGTAGGCCTTGGTCTCCTAAGTGCCAGGATTACAGGTATGCACCGCACCCATCCATACCCAGCTGTAACTTTTAAAAATACAACATTGAAACATACAGTTAATGGCTCATTTTTGGCACAGATTTGCTCTGTTATGTCTTTGATCATAGGGTCTAGCCTGGCTATCTTTCTAGGGAAGAGCCTTGCTCTCTGGTGCTCTCAGGTCCCAGATTTTTATCTCTTGGGTCTCCTCTCTCTCATGTTTTCATCTCTATTGTCTTCTCTGCATTTGAGAATCAAGATGTGAATTCGGCCCAGTGTCAGGGTGTGAGATAAGTGAGGGCCTTCATGACACCCAGATCCTGATGGGTGTCTGGAACCACAAGTTTGACTTGTCAGGGTGGCATACCGGGCAGGTCCAAACAAGTGCCCGTCCTTGTGCAAGGCCCTGGAGCTTCCCGGAGCAGTCCACCTACCTCCTTTTCCACAGGAAGAAGGCCTCAGAGGCCAGGTTTGCTGGGCCAGTGAAGACGCACGCACGCACGCACATGTGCTTCATCCCAAACTCCAGCTTCGCTGCCGCTTCCCCCTTCTCGGGAGCTGCCTCACCTGCCTTTCTGTTCTCCTGGCTGTTGGGAATCCCACTGTCCTTTTGTCATATCCCCTTCAGAATGGGGTTCCATGAGGCCAAAATGGCACTTGTTGGATTTGCTCAGCCAGCTTTCTGGGACTGCATGAGGCTATCTGTCTTAGGGTTACTGTGAAAAGACACCATGACTACGACAACTCTCACAAAGAAAACATTTAATTGGGGTGGCTGGCTTACAGTTTCAGAGGGTCAGTCCATTCTCATCATGACTGGGAGTGTGGTGGCTTGCAGGCAGACGTGGTACTGGAGCTGAAAGTGATTCATCTTGCAGGAAGTGGACTGACAGTCACACTGGGGGAATCTTGAACAAAAGATACCTCAAAGCTGGTGTCCCCACAGTGACACACTTCCTACGACAAGGCCACACCTAGTAGTGTCACTCCCTTTGGGGGCCATTTTCTTTCAAACCACCGCACTAAGCTTAGGAACTGTGACTGCGTGAGATTTCCCCAGGGTGTGTGCTGCCCCTTGGGGCTGGAGTTGCTGTGAGGCTCACACAGCCACGGACACTCAAACAGGCCTGTCTGCTTAGTCTACTCCTGCCAGGCACGCCTGGTGAGCAATCACTGAGACTCCTGTGGCTCCTCCGCCAAGCCTAGGCCCCAGTGGGGATCTCGGCACTCTCTCTAGGTGGGGGAATCTACAAGTTCACCACACACTGCAGTGTGGCCACGGAAATGTCTGTTTTGCAGGCAGTTTTGCTCTTCAGAAGGGGTTGTTTTACTGACTACTTTTATGCATTATAAGTTTGATTAATTTGCTTTATTACTCCCCTCAAAGACTCTGGCAACCTGTGTTCCCACCAAGAATGTGTGGGTTGTGTCTTTGACATTATATCTAAAAATCATCATCAGACCCAGGGGTATATAGATTTGTTTGTTTGCTTGTTTCTGTTTTCCTCAAAAAGATTAAAGATTTTGGGGGATTTAAAATTTTAATTATTTGAATAAATGTATATCTGTTTACATGCAGGTTCCCTTGGAGGCCAGAAGAGGGTGTCACATATCCTAGGGCTGGAGTTCCAGGCAGTTGTGGGTGCTGGGAGCGGAACTCAGGGCCTCTGAAGGGCAACGGATGCTCTTAACCAGGAAGTCATCTTGGTAGTTAGAATTTTGACTTTCTATTTAGGTCTACAGTCCATTTGGGTTAACTTCTGTGTACTGTGGACATCTGGGCTACATTCTTTTCTGATGTGGCAAAGGTTAGCAGTTCTGCTGACGGCCTCTCCACCTTTCTCAAATGTCAGTTCACTGTGGTGGTCTGTCCGCAATACCCTGTTTCTCAGTGTGTCAGTTCTTCCTCTGGCATTGGTTATACATGCCAGGCTCACTAGACCACCAGCTCCAGAGAGTTTCCTCTGAACCTCCTATCTGAGTGTAGGGGCACTGGGATTATATAATCATGGGCTGCCCTATCTGTCATCCCATGGGTTCTGGGGATTTGAACTCAGGCCCTCATGCTTGCCTGGCAAGTGCTTTACCCCTGATTTCTAGGCTTTCATAACAGAGGAGTTGAAAATCGTTGAATGCTTTCTGCCTTTATGGGAATGATCTTATGGATTTCCCTATCCAGTTGGTAATATGATAAATAGCATGATTTGCATATATTGAATTAATTTTATATTATTAGAAAAGACCTCCTTTGACTATGAAGTATTTTGTTAGATTTATTTTTATTATCTTAAGTGTGTGTGTGTGTGTGTGTGTGTGTGTGTGTGTGTGTGTGTATGTGTGTGTGTATACACATGAATGAATGAAAGTGCCTAGAGGTTGGAGGTATCAGATCTGCCTGGAGCTGGAGTTACAGACAGTTGTAAGCTGCCTAATGTGGGTGTTAGGAACTGAACTCAGGTCCTCTGGAAGATCAGTGTGCGCTTTTAACCACTGAGCCATCTTCTCCTCAATCACCAACTTACAGTATTTCTAGTTCCAGCTTACATCCATGTTTTGATCTTTATCTGTATTTATGTTCATTTTTAATACTTTTTGAAACAGGCCTTACTTTGTAGTAAGGCTGCCTAGAACATACTAAGTAGCTGAGGCTAACATTGGTCCTGTCCTGTCATACTTGACCACACCCAGTTTATTTTTAATGTTTTAAGTATTTACTTATTTGGTGTGAGGGGGTTTGGAGAACGACTTGGGGGTGTTGATGGGGTCTGTGGTGTGAAGCCACACAAGCTCTCCACCTGCCTTCATAGCTGTGGCCCTTCCAGGCAGAGTGAGGCGTGTCACTCCCACCCTAGTTTGTACGCAAACTTCCTCAGCTCACCAAAACAGTAATGGAAGTGCTCTTGCCCACAGATCCATCCTAATGGCTTGCATTCTGGTTAAGAAAACCCTGAGAGCTCCATCTCCGAGGTCCTGGTGTCTTTGCAAAAGAGATCAGGAAACCACTCATCCCGTGACCCCAGCTGTCTGGTGGCTCTGAGAAGTCAGTTGTCTTCCATCTGGACAGCTTTTTCCCTCAAGTACCTTCCTTCATTAAGAGCTCCCGGTATTTAGAGTTCGTAAGAAGCTGCTGGAATGGATGAAAAACTGTTCACCATCAGATCAGAGAACTGTGTATACATGCTTTTTGGCTGAACCCCAGTGATGGTGAGGAGCTAGCACCTTCTTTAGCCACTAAGCAATGAGCTCTGTGTTCTACCACTTTTCTTAAAATCATTAAGATATTAACAAGTGAGTGTTAGTTAAGTAAGCACCCGGGTTTTGCTTGGTGAATGAGGGCAGGGTTGAGGACACATGAATGGCAGTAATTATGACGGTGAATAAACAAAACAGGACAAGACACCCAAGCTCAGTAAGCCAGGGTCTGAGGTGGTGGCAGGAGGTAAACAGGTAAAAGGTAAACCAGATGTGGCATGACCTGTAATCCCAGTATGATTGCTGTGGGCTGTGAGTTTGAGGTTATCCTTGGCTAAATAGTGAGTGTCAAGCTAGGGCTCCAGGTGCCCTGCCCCCTTGTCCCACAAAGCAAAGAAAGAAAAAAAAAGCAAAAGAGATATGCTTGTGATGCTAGCTGCCCAGGAGGCTGAGGTAGCTGGGTCATGAGTTCAAGGCCTGCCTGGGCTACACACTGTCTCAAAATAAAAAGTAAAGGCCTTTGAGAATATAGCTCAGTGGTAGAGTGCTTGCCTGGCAAGGTCCCAGGTTCCACAAAACCCCAGACAGCAAACAAGCCAGCCTTCTGACGTCCATAGAACCACAGAATGCACACACGCTTGCACTCCTCCCTTTCTCCGCTCACGTACACACTCATACCCACACATTAACTTGGATTGTGCTGAACATTCAGACCTGTTTCTTGCCTGTATCTCCTTAACATCAGAGTATAGCAACTACTTTCATTGTATTAGGTATTAAATAATGATTTGAACTGATACACTTTGCCATTTACATAAGGGACTTGAGCACATGTGCTTGTGATGTCTGTGTGGGACCCAGAAATGAAGTTGCCCAGGAATGAGTGTACTGTCCTGCAAAAGCTTTGACAAAAATCCTCACTCTTCAGCTGATGTCCCCAAGTTTCCACAATGAGACTGATTTCCTGTTTTGTTGTTGTATTGTTTGTTTACTTTGTGTTTCGAAATGGGGTTTCTCCGTGTAGTCCTGGGGCTCCCAGAACTCAGTCCATAGGTCCCTGTTTTTGTTCTTACCTCTCCCTCTCCCCCAGGCAAACCCAGCGTGAATCCATCACCAACCCACAGCCTGCTTTCCCCTTTTCCCTCCTTGACATCTGTGTGTCTGGTGACCCTGGAATGCTCAACAGTGTGACCTCCTCTAACTAAAGCAACTACCCACCCTGAGGGCGGAGCTCCTGTGACAAATAATCAGTTTAGTGTTAAGGGTGAGGACTCCAAGTCCCTTTCTGGTATCTTTAATGGGAAGTTATTCCTCTCCTGTCAATAAGGCACATAGCAGCTACCACATAGAAATCATTGTGTCACCCATTCCAGCTGACAGTGGGACATTTCCTGTCTGCCTGTCTGCTTGTCTGCTGCAGTGTGTGTCTGCTTGTTTCACACAGCAGCTGGCAAAAGTCTATGAGGAATAAGATGAAATGGTTAAAACAAGCCACTGCCTTGGGTTTTCCGGTTGCCATAGACACCAAATTTTCTATTGTTAGTAACTCTGGTTTCTATGGTGAGCTGACACTTAGAGGGATAACCTTAGAAAGGCAAGAAAGATAATTGGATGTTGAGTGAAGGGGGGTAGGGAAGATTTGGGGAAGGCAGACAAATGGGAAATGGCTAAAAGAAAGACATTCCAATCTCCCCCTTCCCCCAGAAGACATTATATTTCACATTAGTTTGAATCTTGTTTTAGATCCGTTCCGTCTGTTCATGTCGAGGAGCAGATCATATGCAAGATCACAGTACCTTTACAAACGACCAGGTGAGTGTTAAGGTGAGGGGGGCGTCTCAGTAAGAAGTGTGTGAGAGCCTGCACTGGATGGCGATGTACCTTGAGTCCTGTCTAGGTGAGTGGGTGACACTCAGAATCAGTTGATGAAGGATAAGATAGGGTTGTTGGCGGCACGTGGGGAACTTGCTATGCCCTTTGTCGGGCATCCACAGGGCCGTCCTTTGCCAACACAAGGCTGCGGCCTTAGGAAAGGAGTGGTATATGGCTGGAACTTGGAATAGCCAAACCTGGGCTTAGCTGACTGTGATGTTTGAGGGCACAGTTTCCATACAAAAACCACATCTAATGCTTATTAAGTTTAGAGGATCAGTTTGGGTAAGCCATTAGAAGCCTCAGAGGACTCACTGGAAGCTATTGAATACATAGGGCAGGCGTGGCGGAGTTCCAAATGTGGAAGCTCTGTTGCTCTCTCCCAGGGAATCAGGGTCTGACACACTTCCAGCTCTAACATAAGACTGTTTGCAGAGTATTGCTAACCAAAGAAGCTCACAAGAGTGTCAGGGTCTAGATAGTCCTCACTGGGTTTTATTATGTCAGCTTGAACTCAGTCTCCAGGTCACTGACAATGCCACCAACAACACCCTTGCCTCCTCCCAACACCACATGGTTGGTCTTTCTGGTATGGCCACCCCAGAAGACTTAACCTTGAGCAGTTAGTCCATCTTAGACAAAAACAGACTACCACCATATTTGGCACAGATTGCCTCTCTGAAGCCCACCCAAAGGCCAGACCTCCTTTTGTGCAGGGCCAAACTCACTACATAGTCACACAGGAAGCTAGAAACAGAAAGTTAATTCACCTAGGGAAGAAGAAAGGTCCCTTGTCAGGAAGAACATGTGACTATGATTTCTCTCTCTCTTGCCTGACAGATCAGTCAAGTTTATGTCAACTGGCCCTCAAGCCTAGGAACTGAGACACAGAGATACATTGCCGAAAGTCTCACTGTAAGTCACCGTGTGGTTGCTGGGAATTGAACTCAGGACCTCTGAAAGACCAGCTAGTGTTCTTAACCACTGAACTATCTTTCCAGCCCTCCTCCCCATGAGAATCTCACTGTAAGGAAAGTTGTTCCTTACTGGTAATCCAAACAGCAGGGATAGCTGGATCCTTCTTTGTAAAAATTAATAAAACAAAAAGGATGAAGAAGCCAAATGTGATAACTAATAACTAATACCAGCTCTTAGAAGGGTGATGCAGGGAGATTGCTGTGAGTTTGAGGCCAGTTTTGGTAACATACTGTATTCTAGACCAGCCTAGACTACAGATTGAGACTGTGAATTGAAAAAAAATTGTAACACCCACTCTGAGTCTGGAAGCTAAGAAAGTATTTGATAACTAAGAGATGGGAAATTGAGATATACAGAAGGAAAGTCTTTTTGTTGGGGAAAAACAGGTAAAGAAGATGGAACAAGTTTCAAAAGTACCTACTAAGTATCCTCAGTATAACTAGGTACAGTCTTGAAGAATGCATGGTGGATGCTGTCCTAGTTGGCTCCTCTATTTCTGAGATAAACAGTCCAACCAAAAGCAACTTGAGGAGGAGGGGAAATCAGGACAGGAACACGAGCAGGAACTTGGGGGCAGGCATGGAGGCAGAGAGCACGGGGAGCACTGCTCTCATGCTTGCTCTCCATGGCTTGCTCAGCCTGCTTTCTTATACAACCCATGGTCACCAGCCCAAGGGGGTGCTTCCTGCAGTGGACTGAACCCTTCCACATCAATCATTTGTGAAAAAGTGCCCCACGACTAGTCTGCGAGCCAGCATGATGGATCCAATTCCTCAACCAGGTTACCTCTTCCCAAGTGATTCTTGTTTGTGTCTAGTTGACAAGAATTAACTGGCAAGGATTAAAATAAAGTAGGAATCATAAGGTAGATGGGGAATACATTCTCAAAACTAGAGGTGAAAGATAAATAAAGGTGTATTAGGGTTCTCCAGAGGAACAGAGCTTATAGAATGAATGAATATATAAAGGATATTTATTAGAATGGCTTACAGGCTGTGATCTAACTAGTTCAACAATGGCTATCTATTAATGGAAGGTCCAAGAATCCAGTGTTGTTCAGTCCTTGAGGTGTGGCTTCCACTCCACAAGCATGTCTAATATATCGGGCAAAAGCCTGGAGATTGAACTGAAAGACAAGATGTCTGGTCATTTGTGCTAAGAGAATGCACATGCACATCCTTATTGCAAGAGAATGCATGTGTGTGTCTTTATTACAAGTGCTGAGAGGTCTCTCTTTTATTGTAGAGAGGGAGCAGCCACATATACAGACTTACAGCACAATGGAAAAACCCCAGGTGGAAGAGATCATGTTTCGTGCTAGATGTTGATATTAGTGGGTAAAGGCCAGAGCAGTAAGCCAGGACTAGAAAACAGGATGCATTTGGACTGGAAGACAGGATGCACTTGTTGGCTGACAAGTGACTCACAGAGACCCTGTCGGGCCTGGGGCCCAACACTGAGGCTGGATGTCTTAGCTGGTCTTCAGTATACATCAGAATTCTGATGAAGTAGGTTCTAATGCTAGTGAATGGAATTTCCAGTGAGAGCAAGAACAAGCAGGCAAAGAGAAAGTTTCCTTCTTCCACATCTGTATATAGGCAGCCAGTGGAAGGTGTGGCCCAGGTTAAAGATGGATCTTCCCTGGGGCTGGAGAGATGGCTCAGCACTTAAAAGCACTGGTTGATCTTCCAGAGGACCTGGGTTCAATTCCCAGCACCCACATGGCAACTCACAGCTTTCTATAGCTCCAATTCCAGAGGATCTGACAACTTCACAGATATTCATGTAGGCAAAACACATAAATTTAAAATAAATAAATCTTTAAAAATATGACTCTTCCTACCTCAAAAGATCCAGATTAAAAGTGATTTTTTTCCCACTTCAAATGATTTAATCTATTTTGGTTGCTCTCTCTCCCCCCCCCTCTGTTTGGAGAACTCAAGCTTCCATGTTGCAAGTGACTTGCAGATAAGTCCATATGGGGAGGAGCTGACCAACTGCTGTATGAGAATCCAGAGTCACTAAAATTCTAATAATGGCACTCTAGTTAATGTCAAGAGAGCCTCTGACCAAGATCTATCCTGCTAAGCCACTCCTAGGTTCCTAGAGTGATGGGGAATATCCTTATATGTTTCTCTTACTGGCTGATGAATAAAGTTATTTTTGCCAATGGACAAGCAGGATGTATCCAGGCAGGAAGTATAGGCAGGGCTACCAGACTAGGAGAATTCTGGGAAGAGGAATGGAGAGCGAGTCACATGGGAGACACCATATAGATGTTGAGAGAGCAAGAGGTCCGGGCATTACTGGTAAGCTAAGACGATGTGGGGATACACAGATGAATAGAAATGGGTTAATAATTAAGAGAGAGCTAGATAATAAGAAGCCTGAGCCATTGGCCAAACATTTATAATTAACATAAGCCTCTGTGTGTTTATTTGGGACTAAATGACTGCGGGACCAGGCAGGACAGAAACTTCCATCCATACCAGAGAGATATTAAGTGTTCAGTTCTGTTTTAATTTGCTAAATTTGGAGATGATTTGTTATGGAGCAATAGATAACCAATACAGTGATGGGATGGAGGGTTGCAGAGGGAAGATTAGGAGAAAATTGGAGACTTTCAAGAGACTAGACCATGTGTCAGCACCCATGGAGGAATTCAACAGACAAAGAGGAAGGCTGCAGGTGCAGTATGGGGAAAGAACATGTAAGAGTGGGGTAGATCCTGGGAATGAGGGTGGAGGTGAAGTCCAGGGGCCAGGGGTGGGGCCTGACTTTTAGCAGGAGGAAGGGAGCTTTTTAAAGGTCTCAAGTTCTCATTTGTTTGATAGTGTATTTGAGTTTGAGATACCATGGAAGAGGCGATCTTAGTCAAAGAAACAAGTAATACAAGTACCAATGGGGTATTACAGGGTGTTACTGTGTTTTCTTGTCCCACCAGGTCCTGATGCCCTGGAACCCCAAGTAAACACACAGATGATACATTAATTATAAAACTGTTGACTGATGGCTAGGGCTTCTTATAGGCTATCTCTGTCTTAATTATGAACCCATTTCTATTAATCTATGTATTTCCACATGGTCTTGGCTTACTGGAGAAGGGTCCGGGCTTCCTACTCCTTTGTGGTTGACATCTCATCTCCTACCAGTGCCTCTCTGCCTACTTTTCCCAGAATCCTCCTAGTCTCCTAGTCCCACCTATCTTCCTGCCTCTATTGGCCACAGTGTTTTATCCATCAACCAATCAGAGACACATATATACAGAAGGACATTCCCCCATCAACAGGGAGGATAGATAAGATTAAAAGTGGTATGAGAATTAATATGGCTAACAAAAAGCAATTGTAGGAATATGATACAAAACTTTAAGCTTAAACACTGGAAAATTTAGTTAAATATGTTACCCAACATTTGGGAGGCGAGGGTCATCCTTACATAGTACATTCCAGGTTAGTCTGGGCTAACATGAGACTCTGGCTCAAAACAAACAAGCAAAATTGAGACTCCATATAAGAGTTTCTTTCTAAGATCAATTTTCCTCTAATGATCAATTTCTAGAACTTCTTTGTAGATAGAAAACTGAGAATAATAGTGGAAATAGGCATAGGGGTGGGATGTGTGTGTTTCATTAATTATTCCATTCAAACTCTAAAATTGCATTGTCTGTTCCAATAATAAACAATAGAATGATTAAGTGTGGCTATTTAAACCTAAATTGATTAAAGTAAGACTCAAAATTCAGAGCTGATTTCAAGTGCCTAGAAGTTGCATGTGACAAGTAGTTACCATGTTGGAGAGTATAGAATAGAATGTACAGAAGCATCCATGGCCTAGTGATATAGGATCAGAAGAGATCATTTTTATTCTGAGTCACATGTTTTCCAATGCATGACAAAGGCTGAGAATGCACCAGCTTGCTCTATTAAACTATGATCACTTTGATGCCAGAACACAGGGTTATGGTAGGTTTTAATGTCAACTTGCCACAAATAACATGAATAGGGAGCCTCATCTGAAGATGTGTCTTGATTACTTTGATTGATAGTGGGAAGGCCCACCCTGAATTGGGGGACCATACTATTGAGTCACTTAGCCTCAAGGACCAATGAACTTCTGGGTTCTCAGTTTCTCAGGTGTGAATTAGCTGTTGTTACTAGTTGAATGCTGACCAATAAATCCATAATCTCCCATTGGTTCTGTTCCTCAAGAGAATGATGATTAATGCATACAACGACATCGTGATAGTTCTAAGTCAGATTCTCTTATGAATAGATGTAGACATTCTGGAGCAACTCCAAGTGTTACAAATTCAGATGCTCATTCAGGAATGAGCCTAGAAGTCCAATGAAACTAACAACAGGATGCTAAACAGTAAAATGTATCATATCATCAGAGATGAGTAGAAAAATACGGCTGTCTTCATGCACAAGTAAATAAATTTGATAAAATTAGAGGCTAATATAAGTCAGTTGGTTTGCTAAATAAATAGGCTTATCAGAATGATGCTCCCAAATAGCCAAGTCATATTTAATGATGAATATTGCACACCTCCCAACTGAAATGTGGAATAAGGCAAGCCTAAGGCCTGAAGCCATTCCTATAATTTAATGCCACTCTAGAATGTCCAGCATCAGTAACCATTAAGAAGGACAAGGTAAGGAACAGAGTCAGAATATTAAGATTTGAGACTTGAGGGTGGGACAACAGTGGCCCATGCTTGGAACCCAAACATTCAGGATCAGAAGCAAGTCAAGAACCTCAAGTTTGAGGCTAGCCTTGGCAACATTACGCCAGATTTATGTGTCTCATTTCTCTGCTTTTTGTCATTGTCTCTGTTTGGCAGATTGAGGACCTGCTGCTGAGTGTAATTAGATTGGGGTACCTTTGATGCAAATAGCTGTAGTAATATTAAGGAGCACTATTGAAAGATTCCATTTCATCCAAACTTGTCTAGCTCTCAGTTCACAGCTGCCCTCAAATGGCATGAGCTGAGAAAGATACAGAGAAGGGCACCAGGAAACCTTACTCTTATGTCAAAGCATGTGATTTCTGCTTCTGGGACATCAAAGCATTACACAGTGTGCTGGCTTCTTGAAGCCAGGCTTTGGCAATAGCCATTGATAATAAAGTTCCCAGAAAGGAACCACATCATCAAATGGAACCTTCTACAAGTCTGATTGTGGCGATATATTATTTATTATTCATTAAAGCTTGCCTGAGGATCCAGAAAGTAAAGTCAGCCACAAGTCATAGGAACCAGCAGACACTGGATCAGTTGCTCTGTGCAGTGGAGAATGTCTTCCTCAGAGCAGACATGGGGACAGCTGCTTTTCTACTTTTTCTTCCTCTGAAGTCTAATGGGAAATGTCATTCTGTAAATATGCCTCTCTTATTGGTTGATGAATAAAGCACTGTTGGCCAATAGGGATGCAAAATAGGTGGGACTAGGAGTTGAGGATTCTGGGAAATGTAGTGAAGAGTAAAGGGTTGCCATGTGATCTCAGGATGAGAGGACACATGAGGCTGTGTCCTTGGTAAGATAAGTCCTTGTAAAAATATTATTAATTATGGGTTAATAATTAAATCAGAGCTAGCCAATGAGAAACCATAGCAAACGGCCAACAGCTTCATGATTAATATAGTGTCTCGTGTGTTATTTGGGGGCTGAGAAAGCGATCCTCCCCCCCGCAGCTGGTGGGGAGAATGCACGTTACAGAAGTCTTAAAAGCTCTTTGCTTCCTTCTTTCCTGCAAAACCCTGTTGCCTCCTCCCTTATGATGGGATTTTTGAGGTCTAAATAGATGAATTTAAACCATATATTCTTGCTTTGTGAAAAGCTGAAAACCAGATATTAAGTTTATCTTTGCTTTACACTTTGCAGTAGACAGAGCTCTTCTGATCCAAAGACCTCTGGGGATGGCCAGAGGGGAAAACAACCAGCTGAATCAACTGGTAGTGACAAGTTCCTGGTAAACAGCTGTATGGGACAAGCCAGCATTGCCTGATCTAGGGAGGAATCCCAGACTGACACCGGACCAACACAGGATGCCTGATCTAAGAATCTCTATTTATTTTATTTTTCATATCCTTGTAGACATAGAGCAAGCATATGACATATAATTTAGCTTCAATAAATTAAAAGAATAAAAGTTTTGGCTTAAAGTAACATTAAAAAAACATTTTCATTGGTAAAGACATCTTCTTTCTGCTAACTATATTCTTTTATTTTTGTTTTGTTTTGTTTTCTCAAGAAACAAGAGTTTCTCTGTGTAGTGTTGGCTGCCCTGGAAGTTGCTGTACAGTAGGCTGGCCTCACACTAAGAGATCTTTGGGTCTCAGGGATTAAAGTTATGCATCATTATACCTGCTGCTAATCATTTCTTAGCAGAAAGAAATCCCTAAGTCTGCATGACAAACCCCACTTTCTGATTCCTTGTGTTGCCTTTCTCACATCTTACAGAGATAGTGGCATAAATGCACAAAGTTCACGTAACTGCATCTTGTCTATGAAAATTGCATATTCTTTTTTTTTTTTTTTGGTTTTTACGAGACAGGGTTTCTCTGTATTGTTTTGGAGGCTATCGGTGAAAATTGCATATTCTGTGTGAAAATGCAGCCATTTTGCTTTTTCCAATAATTTTTATTGTATGCTAAATTATTTTTTCTAATTATTTTTGCATACCTAATTAAATACACATACGCATATTTATAAACCTGAGTATTTTGGTGATGTATTAAAGTCCTGATAAGCCGAGCAGTGGTGGAGCACGCCTTTAATCCCAGCACTCGGGAGGCAGAGTCAGGCGGATCTCTGTGAGTTTGAGGCGGGCTGGACCAAAAGCCTCCAAAACAATACAGAGAAACCCTGTCTCGTGAAAACCAATAAATAAATAAATAAATAAAGTCCTGATAAATGTTCACTGCCTTATAAACTTAAGTCCTCAGAACTTCTTAAAACCTAATAAATTGTTAGCCAGGTTGTGGTGGTGCACATCTTTAATCCCAGGACTCGGAAGCAGAGGCAGGTGGATCTCTGTGAGTCTGAAGACATCCTGGTCTATAGATTGAGTTCCAGAACAGCCAGAGCCACACAGAGGAACCCTGTCTTGAAAAACAAAGCAAAATAGTAAAGTGTTATCTTGGTTCTATTAGACATTTCTTAAAAACCTTAAAATGTTAATTATTTACATAATACAACATTCATTAGGGTAGTAAAGATAAAGATTTCACTTAGATGATAATTTGATGTTATAGTCATAGATTTTGATAAGGATTTCCTTCTAGAACAGGTTCTAAATTTAAAAATTAATTCAAATTGTATTTCATTTGCATAATAGTCATAAGTAATATAAAAATAATGTTTTCTTCTTCAAAATATGTCTAATGTAAAAAAGTTGTAAGGTTTTTACTAAGGCTGGGCTACATGTAAAATAATGGATACACATGTTTACTAAAGAAATTCATGTTGTCTCTTTTCACAGTGAGGACTATAGGAAATAGAATCCTAACCAACAACAACATTCAAAATGTTAGCTTTTAAAAATCTATTTTAGGTATGACTATATGTGTGTACACTGTAAGTGTTCATGTTTAAAATGTCATTTACTTGGTCCAAAATTGGCTTGTAAATAAGTGCTCATGTAAACTACAGCTTCCTTTTGGCTCCGAGTAAAACTAAACTTTTAAGGGAAAAGTCTCAGTTCCAGTGGCCCCACCATGCTGAGTGTAGCCTGATGTCCCTGTGCCAGTTAAAGGGCCAGTGGCTGAAGGTCCTAGACCTTTCTTTGCAGAAGGTAACACCTGTTTTTGGAATTGTCATTTAAGGGATATTTTGAAAAGACAGTGTGTACTGATTGAGCTGTTTTCTTCCTGATCCCTGTCTTGATTCTGGGTCTATAGCATGGTCCCAATGGCTTGAGGGGAGAAACTAATTTCAAGAGATGACTGCTTCTGCTCCAGGTGCAGTTTTTCCTATTGTTGATAATTGCCCTTCTCTAAGATGCTCAGCCCTTCATCCTGAGGATTAAAAGGGTCACGTGTCTCTGTGCTTTTAGATATGTTTTGTATATGTGTATATAATTATAAGCATATAACGATTTTAAAGTTTTTTTAAACAACTACTGCCTCTACTGTCAGCTCTCTCCTTTTGTCTTGTGGGTCCTGGAGCTTGAACTCAGGTCATAGGCTTGGTGGCAGTATCTTTACATTCTGATCCATCTTATCAGTTCTGTATTAGTCAGGGTTTTCTAGCATCATTGAAATTATGGAATGAGTCCTCTATCTATCTATCTATCTATCTATCTATCTATCTATCTATCTATCTATCTATGGAATTTATTAGAATAACCTATTTGCTCTAGTCCAGCAAATACAACAATGGCTAGCTGTGAATGAAAAGTCTAAGAATCGAGTAGTGGCTGAGTCCCACAAGATTGGATATCTCAACTTTGTCATCTGTATATGCTGGAGTCCTGAAGAAGTAGGCTCCAATGCCAGTGAAGGAATAGATGTGTTAGTAAAGCAAGAGCAAACAGGCAAAGTGAAAGAACTTCCTTCTTCTATGTCCTTATATAGACTTCAGCAGAAAGCATGGCTCATATTAAAGGTATGTCTTCCCGCCTCAGGATTTGGATTAAAGGCCTATGTCTTGCAGTCTTAGGATCTGGATTAAAGGTGTGTGTCTTCCTACCTCAAAGGTCCAGCCTAGGAGTGGATTCACACACTTCAAATCAATCAGAAAATCTCTCACAGGTCTGCCCTTCATTTCCGGCTTTTAGTTCATTCCAAATATAGCCAAGGTGACCACCAAGAATAGCCATAACAAGTCCCAAGTGCTGACATTTATTGATTAATATTTAAGGTGTTCTATACCTCAATTAGCTGATGAAAGAATTAATTAAACAGTATTTATATTTTGTTAATGAGAAAGAAAAGGGCAACACTACAGTGATTCCTAGAATCCATTTTCATTTATAACCATTGAAGTAAGAAGTAAGATTTGATTATGCTTATAGCCCCATAAAATTTTGATTTCTGACTGGTATAACCTTGTTTTAATCACTCTTAATAAGATTTGGTATATATAAAAGACAATCTTACTAAAAGAAAATTTAAAGGAATACTATATTGTTACCTATTTTTTTTTCTCTAATCTGGCTTTTCATTTACCTTTCTGTAGGGAGGGAAGGAAGCTGTGAGTGAGTAAGTCCTTTGACATGCGCATTGTCTATTGAGGACTCCAAGACAGATTGGCCCAAGCCAGGCTCAAGAGGTGTCATTGAGTATGAATGATTAGTATGTGTAAACACCAGCAACTATGGCTTCCTCCTTCCATGTTTGCAGTCTAAGACTGCTCATCTGTCTACAGAGACCTCCTACCAAGACTAGCCAACCCCTTCCCCTGTGCTGACGATCAGGTTACAGCAAATGGAGAACCCCATCTGATCTTAGCATCATTGTCTGTGTCTGTCCTTTCTTCATTCCTTTGCCATCCCTGGTTAGGGTTCTGGGACCCAAGCCTTGAGGGTTGTGGCTCCTTTCCAAACTAAAATCTGGTATAATACCAATATAATACAACTGATCAAGTCAGTGCCTGCAGATAAGAGGTATGCTAATTTAAATACTGAAGGACAATTATTCCTGGAATTAGTCAGCTACTGCACATGAGGTTATGACAATGGAATCAAACCAACAAGAAAAAATTAATAGATATTAGATTTATTTAAATATAACACATATAAAAATCATCCATAGAATACAAATCATTGTAAATATAGGGGGATCTAAGTTTTTTTAAATGTGTAAATTTTGTTTACAATGTCTGTTTCCTTTGTATCTCTATAAGCCAGAAGATGTCCTTGATTATTTTAATTTTAATAGATTACTCTTCATATATGTCACATGTTATGTCAAAGACAGCAAATTAAAGCATCAGATCTTGATCAGAGTGTCTAGTAGTGTTTAGTACTATGACCCAGGAGTGTGTGCCTTTATGGCTTTACTAATTATTCCTCTCTCCTGAAGACTACTGTCTGCCTACTACTTGGCCTTATCTACTTCATATCTTAGGGATGAGCCTTCCCAGGACAATAGACCTTACACTAATGTGTGGCTCCTACATGCACAGAATGTGACTCTTGGTCAACATGAGGAACTGTGGCACAGGTCTCAGAGAGAAGCTGAGTGTTCTGCTAGGCTGGTTGATTGCAGTTTGAGTGATGTGGAGAGGTTGGAATGCTGCAGGTCCAGACTCAATTATCTCGGGCTATCTTTAGTCCCTAAATAGCCACTCTTTACCTCTTCTCCATGGAACCTAACATCATGTGACTAACTGACAAAAACCTTTTGGGATGTATTAACAAAACCTACCAAAAGACTGAGTGTCACCTGAGGCCACAGCTGAGACTCTCCTCTACGCTATAACCAGCCACATAATGTTTCCACCATGTGCTTGAAAAGTGCCTTGATGTGTGACTTCCTTTGTTCTGGTACTATGAAAACTTCATGAGGCTACTTCTACATTGAAACATGGATTTGGGGGTAACCTAAATCTGTGCTCCATTTGACTCCAAGTAAACTCTCTTGTGGAATATTTTAAGATTTGTTACATTTGTTTATTCTGTGGAACATTTATTTTAATGATGCAAAGATGTGTTGTGTACAGTATAGTCTTCCTTGCCAGCTGCCTAGGCCCTGCCACAGTTTTAGTCCCCAAATAACACACAGGACACTATATTAATTATGAAGCTGTTGGCTGTTTGCTTGTTTATTACTGGCTAGCTCTGGCTTAAGTATTTAACCCATAATTATTAATCTAAGTATTTCTCTTACTGGAGAAAGGGCTTGGACCTCTTACTCCTCTGGCAGCTACATAGTGTCTCTCTTTCCCAGAGTCCTCCTCAACTCCTGGTCCCACCTATTTTGCTTCCCTATTGGCCAATAGTGCTTTATTGACATATACACAGGACTTCCCCATCAGTGTTGCATTATTTTACATTGCATTTTTTAAAAACTCTGTGAAACTGTGTCACTGTCGTTGTCTAAAGCACCTGATTGGTCTAATAAAGAGCTGAATGGTTGATAGCTTGGTAGATTAAAGTTAGGAGGGGCTAGCAGGCAGAGAGAATAAATAGAAGGAGAAGTCTGGGAGGAGAGGATCAAGGAAGGAGAAAAGGAGAAGAGGAGGACT